CCCCAAAACCCCAAAACCCCAAAACCCCAAAACCCCAAAACCCCAAAACCCCGGATTGGGTATTAGTGATTGAAAGGTGTGAGAGGTGAGGTTATAATGAAGGTTTGATTTGGTCGAAGTTGGTTCATCCTGGAAGGAGCTCGTGGTCGGTTCCGTAGTTGATTATTGTTTTTATAGCGGCGGTGTATCTGGCTTCGATTATCTTTCTCTTATCGATTTCGACCAGACAGGCGTGCTTTTTGTGGATAATTTGTAAGGAAATGCCGCTTTCTTCAAGAACTTGGAAGAACAGTCTCAATCTTTCGAATTTTAGAAGCAGCTTGAATATGTTAGGTTTGTAGTTCTTCAGAATTAGTTTTATCTGTTTAGCTATCTTTTTACTTTGCTCAGATTTTGTTGCAAGAAAAATTGTTGAAGTCATAAAAGAAGCCATGATTTCAATAAAGGCTACTTCTCCTCCAACGCTTTCATCAAAGATCCTAGTAGCCACTTGTTTAAAGTTGGTATGGTTTTCATAGAACTCTATTATTCTCTCTTGGAATATAGGACATCCTTTCTTACCTCTGGAGTATTTTTCTTCAGGCATTACTTTCAAGAAATCATCCCAAAGAGTTGCTCTAATAGCTCTGAAAAGATTCTTGTAAACTACATCCCTTCTCAAGCACAATTTTCCTTTCTGTAACTTTACAGATCTTCAATCAGAAGTATCTCTTGGGAACTGGTTTTGCTTACACTCTTCTACTTCATTTGAAAGCTTTGTCTCAGAGTTAGAATCGTCTGGTCCATTACCACTCCTAATTTTTATAGCTTTTTCATAACTTGTTTGACCTCAAGAATACTTCACAAAAGCTGATGCTTCGAGTCCTATATTTGGAGAAGCTTCACCTCACTTATTCCTGAGTAAGGTTCATCCTAGTTCAGATCCATTCTGTTTTAATAAAGCCCTAAATTGACCGATGAGGCTTTCCAGATTTAGAAACTTACTTCGAACTGACTGAAAACATCGCCGGCCTGATCGGGACTGGCTTAATCCACCCCCCAAATCTCTGTGCATCCCCATTTTTCCCACCCTATACTCTAAAACAACCTCTGATTATTAAAACTACTTAAGAAAGTCTCTAAACTCACTTGTTCCATTTCTTTTAATTTTATAAATCTGGGTTAATAATTAACTTATTTACTCCCAAACATAAGTCGATTTAACCAAGAAAAACAGTGAAGCTTTATTGAGGTGGAGGCTTCACCAGCCGAAATAAACTTCGGAAGTACCTCTCCTTTACTTCTAAAGGAGCACCTGCTTCTTATCCTTTTTGGTTAAATTTGTCTTTGTAATTGTTTGAATTATATTAAAACCTAATTTTCATAAAAAGACGGATCAAATTATCATTGTTCAAATTTATCTGAGCATCTCTGGAAAGCAGCAAGTATGAACTGCCAGGACTTAAGCTTACTATAATTTTTGCAGAAACCCTCTCTTAATCTCTCAAAGTTTCGGGATAAAGAGAGCTACCATCTTTTTCATAAGAGTTTTAACACAGATATTTTAAGTTCAGAATCTCTTGTACTGGGAAACTCAGGCCTGAAGACTCTGAGAGATTTTACCTAAAGAAACTTTGGTCTAGAGACTCATCGATAAATTTCAAATGTTAGAGTTCATAATAGAAGCATTATTATAAAGAAGATAGAGAATTTGCATTCTTTCAAACTACCATATCTCTTAATATGCAAGCAGGTTCGGAAGGTTTCTTAGATGCTATACACATCGATACTTCCTATAGTAGATCTTAGAGCAGTATCCCAGGAAGCTCACATGGAGGCTAGTTATCAAGAGTTGTAATTTTTGTAGATAAGTGCCATTTTCTGAGTTCAACCAAAATATCAATATTAGGGGTTTTGGGGTTTTGGGGTTTTGGGGTTTTGGGG